CACTATTATATTAATAAGATGATAAATTGTTTATACTTTTTGGAACATATAGTAATGTACATAGAATTCAAAACACATCATAACTTTTGATTCACTGCTAGAGTTCTCTCTAAAAGGGGAAAAAATTCTGCCAATTTATACTTAAATATTTATACTTGACTTATTTGTGAGTGTAGAAAAACTAGATAAAGTCTATTTGTCCAATGATTTAAGCAATGGCTAAGCCTATTAACATAATGGAATACTATGCTAAAAATTAAAAACAGGAAGCTACATATTATCTCTCTCATTAAGTCCCATTACACAAAGAAATATGGAAAGTTGGTTTTTTTGGGGTTTTTTTGTTTTTGTTTTTTTGTAGAGTAAGGAAAGCAGAATAGAAAAAGCAACATATTGATTCTGGCTATGTAAAATATCAATAGCAATTGGACTTTATAGGTACACAGATGAAAAAGAGATTGATGCGAATTCAGAGAAATATGGGAAGATGAGTATGAACTAATCCAGAGTGAAATAAGCAGAACTAAGAAAACAAGAGTCACAATGAATCCAACAACACGAATGAAGAGATGTAATGGAAAAATCAATAAAAATCCCAGAGTAGAGATGATGAAATCTATCTCCACCCTCCCAGAAAGGTGAGGTACTGCTGGAGCCAAGTAGATATAATATAATGGATGTTTTACTTGCTTGTTTTTGTTTTAACAACAAGGGAGGGAGGCTTCTTTAAGGGGTGATGAGGCAATGACTATGATATAAAGAAAAAAAGATATCAATGAAGTCTAATTTTAAAAAAGAGAGATTGGGAGGAGGGATAGAGCAAAAGCAATCTATTGTCATTTGGTTAAAATGTGTATTTTTCATTTATTAAAATATAAATACTTCAGATGTAATGTGTTTATATTTGCCATTGTGTTTATGTGAACATATTTGTTGAAAATATTATAAAGTCTCTGATGTTTTAAAAAGAACATTTATTTTTGCAACTTACAGCCTTTGAGCACAGAGAGGTTTTGACATGCCCAATTAGTCAACCTGCTACGTGCCAGGCACTGTGCTAAGGGCTTGGCAAGCCCTCCAAGAGCTCACACTCTAATGGTAAAGACAAATTTTTAAAAAATTGTATATATGTGATATAGAGAGTGAAAGTGAACAGAAAGCTCAGAGGTAAGGCATTAGTGTAGCAGGGACTAGGAAAGGTCTCCTTCAATAGGTGGGATTTGGGCAAAATCTTGAAAGAAGCTAGGAAAGTCAAAAGGCAGAGGGGAGGAGGAAGAGCATTCCTCATGCCTACCTGTAAAAGGTGACACATGAAGGAAGATTTGTCTCATTCAGAAGGCCACTTCCAATTCCCCACACACCCCCTAGTTGTTACCCTGTATTGATAGTTTCCTAGACCAATGAAATCACAGGTTCAGTCCAGATCCCCTATATTTCTTTCTCAAGACATCTGAGAAATAGTGGTACTATTTACTAAGTGTATGACTATGAGAAAGTCACTTCTTTTTGTTCAGGCCTCAAATTTTAAACTGTAAAATGAGGAAATGAGATTAAATGATTTCTAAGTCTCCTTTGGGCTCTAAATTCTCCAATCCTTAAGAATGAGTGGGGATTTTCTTTTTGATTTAAAGGCAGCTTGAGATAGAAGAAGGTGGGTTATGAAATGGTAAAGTGATTATTGCAACCCTCCTGAGGCTTGTGTATTTCCTCTATAAATTTTACCTCTAGCTTTATCTCTTTTTAGTGAGTGACTGAGCAGACAAAGGGTTTGAGGTTAAAGCAGAAAAAAAGGTTAAAAATCTAAATAACCCCTTACCTGAAGAGCTGAAGCTATCTCACCAAGAGAGACACAATGTCATGTTTAATTGTACCTAAGGGCCTTTTCTGTTTCCTCGGTATGTAGATTTATACAATATTCAGACCTGGGGTGAAAAAAGGAAGGAAGGAAGGAAGGAAGGAAGGAAGGAAGGAAGGAAGGAAGGAAAAGAAAAAGAAAGAAACAATGCGGGAGAGAAGAAAACAAAGGAAAACTCTTTCCTTAAATGAGATTTACTGAGATTGGAGAGGAGGTGGAATGGGAGTGGTGTAGAAAGCTTGATGAAGAGATCATCCAGAGAATAAGGTTCTAGACCCAGCTCTGCCACTGATGGTGACCTTGAACAAGCCCCTCACTGTTCCTTTCTGGACCTCAATTTCCTCACCTGTAAAATGAAGAAGTTTGGTCCCTAAGGGTACTTCCTGACACTAAGACAATAATTCAAAGAGATCTTAAGCTTAAATAGGTGTAGACCACAGGTCAGACTAAAAGGTTCAGAAAGTGATTTTGAGTAGTTTCACTTCACTGAAGAGAGGACTGTATTCCTCCTGTCATGTCTGTGTATGGGACAATGGAGTGGAGATATTCCCCTACCCTTTCTTTTGGCTATATAGCCTAGAATGGCTGCATCCAATATGGTCAATGGTAGAGATGGTAGTAGGTTGGTACCCACTCCAGCTGTAGGGCTAAAGATAAGCTCAACTCCAGATGGAAAATTGCAGATTGCTCTAGCTTTTTCTATCCGCATTCAGTTGATGGAAACATCTTACTTTGCTTCTAGAGAGCCTATAGAACATTAAGAGTCAGAAAGCCTGAGTTCAAATCCTGGTTCTGACTTTTAACTAGCTAGATGACTGAGTACAGGCAAGCCATTGCTTTCCTATAAGGTTGAGTTTTTCTGTCTGCAAAATACTTCCCTCTCTGTCAGGACTATTGCAATAATCAACTAAGCCATTTCGTGAAAACCGCAGGTCTCAGTAGGAACATAAGCTAATGCCCAACTTTGGGTTCATGGCATTTAGAACTGGAAGGGAGCTTAGGAATTACTCAGTCCAATTCCTCCATTTTACAGATGAGTAAACTAAAACCCCCACAGGTGAAGTGAAACGAACAGAGCCAAGCTTCCAGCCTGAGTCTGCTGACTCCAAATCCATCTGGGGACATTCATGTTAAGCATACAGTGATGTCAGCTCTCTCTTGACTCTGAAGGGAGATAATTGGGCTTACTAAAAGGAGAGTGGGACAGAACAAAAGGAAATTAAACTTTCTAATTGTTATTTATATATGTAATTATTTATCAATATTTTTACAGAAACTGGACAATTCAGTCATTTTTCAGCTGTGTCCAACTCTTCATGAATCCATTTGGGGTTTTCTTGGCAAAGATACTAGAGTAGTTTGCCATTTCCTTCTCCAGCTCATTTTACAGATGAGGAAACTGAGGCAAGTGACTTGCCCAGGATCACATAACTAGTAAGTTTCTGAGGTCAGATTTGAACTAAGGAAGATGAGTCTTCCTCTGACTCCAGGGCTGGCATTCTATCCACAGCGCCATCTAGCTGCCCCAAGAAACAACCTCTGTTATATACTGTCTGAACGACCCCTTAGCACAACCCTTCATTCTCCACTTGATTTCATTGGAATAGCCCCGTGAAGAAATTATCATTGCAGATCTGCAATTTAGGCTTTCAGAGAGTACACTTGAGCACTGGGGAATGAAGGGACACACGTGCTAAGGGGGTCACAGCCGACAATACATGACGGGGTAGGATGGAATTCTAGTCTTCCTGATGCAGCTCTGTGCACTCATTATACCATGTGGCCTGAACTACTAAGAAATAATCAATTTTAATTTAAAAACAAAAACAAATACCTTCAAACATATGCCTACTAATGAAAGTATGTGATAGCAGCAAGCCACCCTAACAGACACATTTATATTTCTTCCCTGTTAGCATGATCCAACCCTTCTCCCTGATCTCAGGCCCACTTTTCCTTAGTTGGCCAGTGTCCTCTAACATTAGCTACGTGACCATGAATTTAAGGTCATAGACTGAGAACTGGAAGGAACCTTATTAGTCATGGAGAAGTAAGCGATATTTCTCCCGGGGCATGTAAGCGTAAGATCAAAACTGGAGAGCTGGAAGGCAGCCTTAGAGGTGATCTAGTTCTTATTTTAGAGGACAGCGACTGGAGCTGTGATTGTGTTGTCATAGAGTTCTCCCAAGTGAGGAAACACCCTCCACCAATGCAGATGAGCACCTTCTTTGCAACTTTTATTCTTAGAATTGCCTTGAGTATTGTGACTGGCCTAGGGTCATAAGGGGCAGACTCATCTTCCTGAATGCAAAGTCTCAGACACTTACTAGCTGTGTGACCCTGGGCAAGTCACTTAACCCTGTTTGCCTCAGCTTGCTCATGCATAAAATGAAGGGGAGAAGGAAATGGCAAATTACTTCAGTATCTTTGCCAAGAAAACCCCAAACGGGGTCACGAACAAGAACGGAATCGCAGGACCAGGATACATCAGGGGCAAGACTGGAACCCAGGTGTTTCCAACTCCAAGACTAGCTCTGAGATAATACCTAGCTGTTTAAGGATTGAAAAGCCCTTTGCATATATTATCTCACTTGGTCTTCATAACTACTCAGCAGTGTGAGGTTGGTGCAATTATTAACCCTCATCTTGCAGATAAGGAAATTGAGCCTGGGAGCTCAGTGTCTCGTCCAGCCACTAGTGCTTGTCTAAGAAAAATTCAAACTCGGGTCGTCCTGACTTCCAATCTAACACTCTATTTACAGTACCACCTAGATGCTTTCGGGCTGGCCCTCTGTCTACTAAGCCGAGCTGTTTCTCCTTCCCAACTCCCCCATTTATGATCAAGGAAACTGAGTCCTCAAAACTTGAAGGGACTTACTCACAATCTGACAGCTGGTAGGTAGCAGAGCTTAGCTTCAAAACGCAGGTCTCCTTTTTGGTAACGTAAGTGGTGTTCTCACCACTGGACCACCCTGCCTCCCTGACTTTCGTTATCAAACCCAAACTTTACCCCTGTTTTGAAAACTGCCTTTTCGATTGTGCAGAGTATCGGCGGGGGAGTGAGAAAAACAGATGTCTTTTGAATGACGATAGATGAAAAGGGAAAGAAAACAGACGCGGGGAAGGTCCCGGGGCACCGCCAATGGCGGGACACGGGCCCATCCTCCGACGCCGCTAATAATTAACTGGAAAGGCAAGATCGATGGCTCGAGGGCTTTATAAGGCCCGCGGCTGGGGACTCAGGCATAAACTTCTGGGATCCACAGAAATCTTCTCCTTAGAGCATTCTCTCACATCTCTCTCGGTAATGACTGAAGCCTTGGCCCCGGGGTGCTGCCCTCGCCGCTGCCCGCTGCTCCCCGTGGTCCTGCTCGCCTTCCAGATCCACGTGCTGTCCGCGGCCGTGGTGTCCCCGAAGCCCCTGCACTGCGCCCCCTGCACTCCGGAGAAGTTGGCCCTCTGCCCGACCGTGCCCTCCGACTGCCCTGAGCTCGCTCGCCAGTCCGGCTGTGGCTGCTGCCAGACGTGCGCCTTGCAGTTGGGCGATGCGTGCGGGGTGTACACGGCGCGTTGCGGCCAAGGGCTGAGCTGCCGGGCTCGCCCAGGTGAACCCCGGCCCCTGCATGCTCTCACTCGGGGTCAGGGTGCCTGCATACGGACTGCTGACGTGGAAGGATCCCAAAGCTCCGAGTCTTCAGGTAACCACCCTTTCATCCCCTCCTCTTTCGAGGAAACCCAGAATTCTTTCCTTGCCCTGCGCCCCCATGTCCCTTGCATTCTCACATGTCTTGCGCCCTAAATCCCAAATTTTCTGCCTCCCAGTTCCTGAATCCCCACGTCCTGCACCCTCTGCTTCCTTGCATCTTCACATTCCCTGCATTCCCACATTCCCTGAATATGGAGAGTCATGTCCTGCATCCCCACATTCCCAGCAAATCCACGTGCCCTGTATCTCCACAGGCCCTGCCAGCTATATGTAAGATGCCTAAGACAGATTAGACAATTGGGAAGGTCAAGGAGAACGGTGGAAACGCTAAGTGGGCTGGAAAATGGGGAAAGTGCAGGGAAGAGCCTGGGAGGATGCCCTGGCTTTTGTAAATATCTAGGATGTGAATATATCCTGCAAAACCCACATCAAATGCGTCTGGAATTTGCTTTGTATATGTGTGGAGTGGTTACACTATGTGCCCAGCAGATGTTTACAGTACATAATGTGAGAGTTTAGGCTTATATCGCACTTCCATTCATGTGCCATATAAAAGTGTTCTGGGGTGTTTATGTTGCACCTTTTTCCCTCAGAACTTGACAATCAGATTCTTTACTTACTTAAGCAGTGATTTATTTGTAGTGGAGAGTGAAGGAAATGCCTCCTCCTTGCCCCTTCACTTCCTATCTCCCCATCTGGACTTGATTCACATCCTGTGTAATTCTTGGAGAAATCCCGTAATTAAACTAGATAGAAATCTCAGCCAGGGCTCACAGCTTGTCTCTAAAAAGTTACTCTACTCTTCTAGGGGTGGAACAAGTCTCTACTTAGATTTTATTCTAGGGCCTAGCTAAGGTGCTAGAATACAGAATATCGCAGAATCATCAATGGAGAACTGCAAGGGACCCCAGAGGCCATCTAGTACATTCCTTTAAGTTTACAAATGAGGAAACTGAGGCCAGAGAAGGTTACATGACTTGCCCAATGTCACATGGTGAGTGAGCATAGCAGACAAGATTTGAACTCAAGGCCTCTGCCTCCAAAGTCAATGTTTCCTTAACTGCTCTTTTTTTTTTTTTTTGATGGGGGGTGGACAGGGTGTCCACCTAGGAAAGTTAAATTAACTGTTACTCTATTCTCTCCAGGGTGAGGCAAATACCTGCAATGATACCTAGAGAGAGCCTGTAGGGCAAGGAAACTGTGGCCTTTTAGGTCCTTTGGATTTGGCCCTTTGACTCTAAGTTTTACAGAACAAATCTTTTTATCAAGGGGTTTTGTTCTGTGAAGTTTGGATTCAGTCAAAGGGCCACACTTGAGGACCTATAAGGCCACAGGTGGCCTCGAGACTTCAGGTTCCCCACCCTTGAAGGGTGCCATTATAGGTCATCTCTCTAGTTATGTTGAACTAAAACCACTGAATTCTTTCTTTAAGACAACAGTTTCTGCCTGACCTATTTGGCTCTTTCTTCCTCTTTGGCTCCCAGAAATTCCTCAAGAAAATCACTGATTTTGAGCAAAACATGAAGCAGTGGAGCATGGGGAGGACACCCAGCAGTGGATTTGGGTTCTAGTTCCAGCTCTTCCAGGAGTAGCTATTGCCTAATTCATGAGTCCCTTCCCAAAATGACTCCAACAAGACCTCCTCCACTATAGGCCCAGTCATCTCAGCATCATTGTTCGTGAAAATGGTCTGTTGTTATGATCCTCTCTGTGGCAGCCAAATCCTGGTTTAATTCCAAAGGAACTACCATATGAGGTGAAAAAGGATCAGGATTTTTTTTAAAGTGTTTTCACAAAGAGCTATTGTTTTTGTTTGTTACATCTTGTTAGTTATACTAGAAAATGAAATCAATTCCCCCTATAGGCAACAGATGTTGAGAAGGAAGTTCAGTTATCCCTCTCTATAAATCTGGTATATATATACCTATACATTAAGATGTGGATGCTTGTTTTATTCCATACATTAAAAATTAAATACATTAAAATATGTGAGAATATGTAATATAGTTAGACCTTTTCTACAGTCTACTTTTGGGGGGAAATGGTGGGGGAAATTTTTTTTAAAAGCCCTTAAAACTATATTTTATATGATCATGATATTTTAAAAGGATATGAAAAGATGAATCAAAGATTCAATGAAACATTTGCTTTTAATTTTGTAGATACTAAGGACCCTTCAGTTCCTGAAAACACAACTCCAGAGAGTGCAGAAATGACGCAGGAGCAGCTTTTGGATAATTATCACTTAATCTTTCCCCCCACTGAAGAAAGACCCATCCTCTGGAATGCCATCAGCACTTACGAAAATATCAAATCCAAGAAAATCTCTGACATAAAGAAATGGAAGGTAATGAGCCCTTGGTAGCATGTCCTTGGAAAGCTGTCCTAGACTCAAGCCTCTTAAAACTTGTTTTTTTCCTTCTCACAGACTTAGATCTCTCTTCCTTAAAAACCCAGCTTCCTTTTCCACAGTTGAATATACTTGAGGGCCTGAGTGAATTTGTCCAGCTGGAGGGGACCTTAGGGACAATCTAGTCCCACTTCCCTATAGAATAGTAAACAGAGTGAGATATTGAATGATTTGTAAATTTGATTTCTTCATGAGGAGTATTAACTGTCTCTAACTGACTGTCTAACTGATAACTTTACCCATGGTAATATTTGGAAATAGTTTGTTTTAGGAGTAAAACATGATTATTGTTTGTATCAAATCTGGTTGTTTATTGGCATAGGGAGCTCCTTATATGGACAATTCTCTCATTAATGCGGGTTTGAAACCTTAAAATCTATAGGTTTTATATTCCTAAAAATAACCTATAACTTAAAATCTTAAAAAAACTGCCAAGATCTAGGAGAAATTTAAGCAATGTGTCTATGGTCAAGATTAGGTAGATAGACAGGTTATGTGCACTCGCACACACACATACACACACACACACACACACCCTTGTAACCAAGAGATCTAGATCTACTGCAAGATATTATGAGAACTACTCTTTTAAAATAGAAACCATGTTTATTAGTAAAAAAAAAAAAAAAAAAAAAAAAGAATGTATGCAAATTTAGGGAAAGCACCTGCACGATTTACTTTGCAGACAGAAGACACTTACCACCAAAGACTGTATTTTTAAAATCACCACTTGATGGCGCCAAAAGAATAGGAATTGGAATTGAAAACTCTTGTCCAATGAAAAGTTCAGTTTGTGCTTTACTGGATTTTGACCTATGTAATGTAGTCCCTATTACATGTACAATGCCTGGGTAATTTCAATACCTTGCTTCATTTTGGCTCACGTAATTCAAGTATTATCCAAGTATGCCTCTATCTCCACTTGACTGAATATTTAGGGAAGCCTCAGTTTTCTTTTCTGCAAAACAAGATGTCTCCAGGACCATGGCTAGCCACTCTAAGTCATGGTTTAATTGTATTGTTACCTTTTCTGAGTGGCTATTAAAGGCCATTATGATGAGAGATATTTTTTTTCTTTCTAGGTCAAGGGCCCATGTGTAATAGAAAAAGTCTAGCCCACATAGGTTGTAATCTAAGTTTAAAATAAAGCTTGTCTCGATTCAAAAAAGACAGAAAGTCCGTCAGAGGGAAGATAAAGATCTTCATGTTGTTGGCAGGGAATGTTGCCATCTGGTTGTAGTTCCATTCTGAGTAGTGCCTCTCCTTCCAACAATGATCTTAAAGCCATTTTTATCTTGTCGCTTAGCCCTCCTTTGACATTATTCTTTCAGGAACCATGTCAAAGAGAACTCTACAAGGTGCTGGACAGATTAGCCAAAGCCCAGCAGAAAGATGGTGAAGAAATTTACAAGTTTTACCTTCCTAACTGCAACAAGAATGGATTTTACCACAGCAAGCAGGTATGTGATGTTCAACTCTTACCAAAAGCTTGAGAATAGTTTCCCTAAAAGGACTGATAAGCTTTTCTCAATTCCCATTGTGATCTCCGACCTTTATTTTTAAATAGTGCCTGACTCCTCAACATATATCTCAAGGAATCAAAAATGCATGCTTTCAAATAGTTCCCCTCTGAATAGAAAATAGGTATGGTAGCTCCACCACCCATCCCAAAGTGTAGTCTAATATTGAGGAGAGATGGAGTTGTAATTGTGTCTGTGTAGGAAACTACAAATGTGGAAACACCAAGGCAGATTGCAATTCATCTTGGTGGCCATGGTCATGTCATCTGATTTCTGTGGGTTTCAGTTTTCTCACCTGTAAAATGAAGGTTTTGGATTAGATGGCCTTTGTGGTGCCTTCCACATCTAGGTCTCTTCTCCTGTGTCTATAACATAGAAAATTCAAAGGAAGTTGTCAGAAGCACATAAAAGTTAAAAACTTGCCCAGTGTCCCAAAGCTAATGTCAGAGTCAGAATCTGAACCCAAATCCTCCTTTCTCCAAACCCAGAACTCTATTGATTCTACCACTTTGCCCATGCATAATTTAATAATAATAAACAAAAATAACTTCGATAGTTGGATATAATATTATTTGGAAAGACAAATAATAAATAAGATAGGACAAAAATAAATATCTGCCCAGAGAGGAAAGTGAATCTTAACATTTATGGAAATCCAAATTCACTATTTATTTTGTTACCTACATAAACATACTCATTCTGGTGGATTTTATTGGGGGGAAATCCAGATGCAACTTCACCCAGCAAGTAATAAATTACTTAAAGTCTGCAATGTACTTAATTGGATTTATGAAATCTGGGTTTTATTCTTGTGCTTTGCCCACGACAGACTGCTAGACAACAAAACAGTTACATAGTCTCTCTGTTTCAGTTTCCTCATCTGCAGGGTAAAATATATCTGCCCCAGGGGAATGACACACACAGTCACCCCACCGAGGCACCAAAAAGTCTTGACTTTCCTTTCCTTGAGACAAAATGAAATATGGTTAGACTTTTTAGCAATCCCTGGAGCATGGCTGGTCCTGTGCCCATCTAAAGGTTCCCTTCACCTCAGAAGCTATCATATCCTCCTGGGTTTCCTGGTCCCTATCTGCTGACAATGTCTTTTGTGACAATAACCCACATGGATATGAAATTTAATGACTATTTATCAAGTTCTTACTATGTGAAAGGCTGTATGTTAGGTACTTAAGAGGATGCAGAGAACTAAGTCATGATTCCAGCCTTCATAGAGTTCAAAGTAAGCAGGAGCCAAACAACCTGCACACATAACCAGAATGCATAGCAGGAGGCAAACAAATAAGGCTAATACTATAGGAAGGGAGGGTCAAGCTTCTGTGGGATTTTGGATCAGGGATGATTAGAGGGAGGAGGAAGCATTTGAGGTGGACCTGAAGGATGAATAGCAGTTAGATAAGCAGGGATGAATCTGCCAGGGCATTTGGGACAAAGGGTACACAGCATGTGAAGAATGTGTGCAAACTCCGGAAAATATGGGGGATTATGTCTGGAGAATGGCAAATTGTCCAGTTTGTCTGGAGCACTAGGTATGCAAAATCATGACAGTACATGTCAAAATGTAGACTAGCTACAATTTTTGCTTTACCTTCAGAGGAATGCTATTTGAAAATATGTCATTACAATTTTTTATGATGTTATCACATCGTCACCTTATGTAGAACTATACAGAGGTGACTTTTATTATGATAGTGTACAGATTTAGTAAGGTGACCAAAAGTATTGACCTTGCCCTTCCTGGGCCTTACCCCAGTCTCCATACCCGGGCCAAGAAGAACCACTGCTTCGAAGGAGGTAGATGTGTTTCTAAAGTCTAGAGCTTGAATTCAGAATATATATTATTCAATTGAAGCAAAGGAACAAATAGATTAATACATTACTTAAACTCAGCAAACAACTGCTATGGGCCTAGCACAAAAGCTTGTACCTGCATGGCCAGGAATTTGGAGATTGGGATGTATTTACCCAATGTTATCAATGGTGGGTAGTGTTTCTGACCAGGTCATAAAAAACATATTTAAGTCATAATTATGGTGACCATATTTTATAAACCCCAAGTTGGGTTTCGACAATGAAAATTCTCTCTATTATTTATATGAGTAGGGTCTGTAGTGATAAAGTTGTCATGCCTTATAGTCACTTATAATCGCACAAAAGACATGGCAGAAAGTCTTAGAGTTTCCATAAGATTACCTCGCTGCCATCATTGAAAATGTCGTTTTGTGAATCTTGTTCTAGTGTGAGACTTCTCTAGAAGGAGAACCTGTCCTCTGCTGGTGTGTCTACCCCTGGAGTGGAAAAAAGATTCCTGGCTCACCAGAGCTAAGTGGAGATCCTGGTTGTCATCGTTATTTTAATTTGCGCAACTAAAAATGTATTCTTTTCATTACTTCAAATGAGAATTTTTAATGTGATACACTCTATTTATTCTCAAACCTATACACATATAAGCACACACACAAAGAGTATATATTTTATATGTTGCAACTACTTTTATACTCCACAGGATATGTAAAGCTGTTGGATTATTTATTTCACAGTAAATTTATTTTTTTCTACACAGTAACTTGAGTACTATTAATTTATATAGCATGAACTATTTCATAATTTTATATTGTAAATAGTTGTATTTTTGTTCTTGAAAATATGTGGAATGTTTCCTTTTTTAAAGAGCCTAGGGGAAAAAAAAGATTGATTAGAATAATATAAATCATACAGGCTTAAAACAATGAGAAAATCAGCATACAATCGAACTGTGTAAAGATAATTTTAAGAGCTTTTTAGAAAATAGATTTAACCTGTTGACCTTTGCATCAGAATTTAATGTTAATTTAAAATGAAACGTAAACTTAAATTAAATAAGTAAACCTCAACAAAGTTTTGTCTTATATTTTAAATGTATATGCACTGAATATATTGTATTGTAGTACATAAACACATTTTGGAATAAAATTTGCACACATAAACATTGTCAATGTATGTAATTTTATGTGTTGGAGAAGTAACATGCTATAGTAGAGAGAGGGCTAGCTTTGGATTCCTGAAACCCTGGGTTTACATTCTGTCTCTGGCTGTGCAACCGTGGACAGGCTGTTTAACCTCTGGGTGGCCCCAGACAACTAAACCTACATGTTGCAGAAGCTTTTCTGATCTGTATCGGTGCGGGGAGTTTCCATAATGAAAGTTTTATACACAGATTTACTAACAGGTCTGGACCAAATTCATGTTTTGAGTAGGCTACAGCATACTACAAATGAATAATTATACAAGATAATTTGTGCAGACGATGTCAGAGAAATATATGATGAGGATTAAAAAAAAGACAATTGGCCAAGGATGTAAAGAGAATTCAACTAAGGTTTGCCTGGCACATGGAGTATTCCTTGGCAAATTTAGGAAAAAAACATAGAGAAGAGTCACACAAAATTGACAGGCATAGGTGAAGGGTGATCTACACTGGAGGGAGTACCCCTATATAACAGATCACAGATCCATTAGGATATAAATCTACTCTAATTTACCTCCTTGGAATATTAGAGTGTATTTAAATAAAATTATCCAGATATGTATTCTTTCTGTTTTCTTCTGCAAAAAAAAAAAATAGCTCTTCCTGCTATTCCTCCTCCTCTTCCTTCTCCTCCTCTTTCTTCTTTGGCTCTGCCTCTCTCTGGCTTTGTCTCTCTATTCTTCTTCCTCTCTGTGTGTCCCTTTATGTCTCTCTCTCCACCCTCTCCCTGCCTTTTCACACATATCATCTTCAGGTGTACCTAGATCAGTACACAGTTCCCTATATAACAAATTGCTATTCAGTGGTTTTGGGCAATCCCATCCCACCATCTTTTCCCCTACAGGTACAAAAAGTATGAAGTGCCCTCACTTCCCATCCAAACCTATTTTGAGGCCAGGTGGCCATTAGCTAGGAGATTGAAATTCCACACCACAAAACTCTGGCTATTCTGTGGGGGCTACAAAATAGCCAAGCCTCCAGTGTTTTGGGGAAAACAAACAAACAAACAAACAAACAAACATACATACATACATACAAAAATGCTGCAGGGGAATGAGTTTCTTCTGTCCTAGTCCTGGTGCCTCTAAATTTCTGAGTTTTTTTATTGGAGTTCCTCCAATCTTTTAGTACCAGCTTAGTGGTCTTGGATGGTCTTCATGTACTACTTATACATCATCACCATCAGTTAATTAGTATTTTTAATCCAAGTTAGTGCCTAAAATATTATTTAAAATTAATATTAAGCTATAATATTAATTATTCTACCCACTCTGCTTTCTCCCTCTCTACTAGCATCATACCCATTATTTATAAATGTGCTCAGATTTCTGCAATAGTTTAAAAAAGTAAATCCCTTCCCTTCCAAGCTTAGTACTGAAAGTTTAAAGGAGTCAAGTATTTTCCCCTCCTAATGCTTGCAACATGCTGCTTTTCATTCTTTTTGGCTCTAGATGGTAGAATTGAAAGCAAAGGGTAGAAGTCACAATGAGACAAATTTAGACTTAATTACAGGAAAACTTGCTAATGATATCCAAAAGTGGAATGAACAGGTTAAGTGGGCAGTGGGTTCCCCTTCACTGGAGATCTTCAAACTAAGCTTTAATGACCATTTGATGTATGTGTCATTGAAGGGATTTTTGACTGGTTATATATCAGGCTATGCCACAATTCCATGGGATTTGTTTTTTTCTTATTTTGGTGTTACTCGAACTAAATACATTTGCTGTTTCTTCTAGCCTTGAAGTCTTACACTCCTGAAATTGCCACTGGGAACTCTTTGGTGTGGTTCAGCTGTGTGGAGTAAGCTAAGAGCTGATAAAGAGAGCCCACAAGCTCAGTTCCATGGAATTGCTAAACTAGAGGAATATAATAATATCTGTCTTCAAGAATGGCAGATGGCGCCCTGGAGTCAGGAGGACCTGAGTTCAAATCTGCCCTCAGACACTTGACACTTAATAGCTATGTGACCCCAGGCAAGTCACTTAACCCCATTGCCTAGCCAAAAAAAAAAAAAAAAAAAAGAATGGCAGATGGAATGATACAATAAAGATGGCACCTAGTTTGGGAAAGATAATTCTAAGAAGGTAGAATGAACTATTGTGATCATTTTTTCAGATTATCCTGTAACACCTACAGAAAAATGAGTGTCTCAGATAACCAGTTTAATGAACAGTGTGGTTTGGCTAAAGATGCCTGCAAGTTTACAGAAATGATCTGTGAGTTTGCAGAAAAGGAAGAGAGTTTCCTTACCTGGGAGTACCCTGTCACAACTGTAGTCCTTTCGTTTTCTGAAGCTAGACACAGCATAGTTATGACCGATAATTTTCATAAGCAACTTTCAGTTTTTTCAGGTATGTATGTACATGTGCACATGTGTATACTTATATTCATAGGTTGCATGGGTATAGGTGTTCATGTATGTTTAAGTGCATGCATCCATGGGTGATACATGCATATTGTGTCCATGTGTGACTACATGAGGGAAGACACATATATGTGTGTGCATGCATGGGTGTGTGTTGGCTGAGTAAAATCTGATTCCAACAGAGAACAGTCCTACCTCTGCCTGAATTAGTGCTTCAGAGGAAGAGTAATAAAAGGTGATTTTCTAAAGGTTGGTAAAGTAGCATTTGTAATTTTAGCCTAGCACTTATATTCTATAAAAGAATTTGGCCAACTATTTGGTGCTGATTTGGCACTTTTCCAATGGAAAAGTAGGCTAAGTGGAACAAACTAGATCAGAAAGAACAAAAAGCAGCCAAACTCTGTAACTCACTGTATGATAATCATGAAAATATCAACCACTCAGGAAAGAACCTCAATTTGACAAGGACTCTTGGAAAAACTGCAAAACAGCTTAGCAAAATAAATAAATGAGCAAATGAACAACCAAAAGAACTATTGAATGAATAAATAAATGAAGGAAGGAATGAATAGATCAATAGCTGCATACATAAGTAAGTAAACAAACATAAAACATAGGTCTAGGTGAACATGTACCACATGTTCCAAATGGATACTTGTCTTAAATATAAATGATTATATTGTTAAACATAAATTCAGGAAAATGGAGATGGTAGCTTTCAGAACTATAGCTAGGAAAAGATTCTTAACCAAATAAGGTATCAAAGAGATCCTAAAAGAGAACTTTCTTCTTCAGTTACATGAAATTAGAAAGCTTGTGCATGAACAAAATCAACGTAGCTAGGATAAGAAGAGGAAACTGTAGATTAAGAAAATATATATATTTTATTCAAATATCCCATAAGATTCTGATATCCAAATTACAAATGACTAAGAGTGAATTAAACGGTTCTCAAAGGCAGAATTATTAACAATAATATGAAAGATTACCCCAAATCACTAATAATAGGAAAATATAAATTAAAACAACTCCAAAGTTTCGAATTTCACTCAGTGAATTGAAAACAATGACAAAACGTATTGGAGGGGCTATGGGAAAACAGGAACACTATTACACCATGTGTAGAGCTATGGATTGGTTCAACTTTTCTGGAACGCAATTTGAAATTAAGCTAAAAAAGAGATTAAAATGTCCATTCTCTTTGACCCAAAGATCCCACTGCTATAGAGATAGGTAGATCCATATATAGATACAGATATATAGATATATAGATGTGGTAGGTACATATTTGTTGATTCTTGTCATCTATGGTAACTAAATTCTATAAAGTTGCCATGAACATTGAATTAATGAATACTGAACCATTTAGGGGAAATACAGGATTAGGTACTTGCAATCCTTTGGTCATAACATTTTGTCAATTGATCAATATATAACCTTGTTTTATGTGTGTTTCTGCTTAAAGATGCCTTATTTCACACACACATATATATATGTGTATATAAATAATATATATAATTCTTACAAATTATTAATTATATTCAAACGTCCTCTTCCTTTTTCTGGATGTATCATATTGTTAATTCATTAACATTAGACTCATGGTCAATAGCATTATAACTCATGCTTGAGCAAACCTTATCCAACATTTACATATTTTCTCCATAAGGCATATTAGAGACTACTTGCTCTTTGTAACACTAGACAGCACTTCAGCACCGCACTTGGGGGCCATTTTAAAAGGTAAGACCCCCAAGAAAAAGCACAAAATTTTTTAAAAAGGCACTAAATAGATAGTAAAAAGGACACTTGTTAACATTCTGAAAGCTGAAAGAAGAAGGCAGAGTGCCTCCTTGTTCTTCCTCAGCTATGAACGTGTGCAATAGGCCACTCAGATTTTTTGCTTCTCTGTGCATGGCCTTGAATGGTCACAGAAGAGCTGAGTATTGATTTGGGGCTTACAAATAAACTTTAAGAAGGAGGGAAACTTTCAAATATAGAATCCATGAATAATGAAGATCAAATGTATTTCTCTCTCTCTCTCTATGTATATATATTATATGTATGCATGTATAGATCTATACATATACATACATATATATATACACATATATAGTATAGTTCCCATATATAACAAAATATGGCAGCACTCTTTGTAACAACACAAAACTGGAAACAAAGTAAATGTCAATTGAGGAAAGGCTAAACAAATTGTAGCACATAATTGTAATGGGGTATTATTACACCAAAAGGAAAACCAAATATGAAGAATTCAGACAAACACGGGAAGACATGTATGAAGTGATAAAAATGAAATAAGCAAAGCTCAAAAAACAGTAACACAGTAGCATGTATGAATAGTACAGGAAAATGAAATAGAAGACTGTGCAATCACAATCATCATGTTTGGACCCAGAAAAGAATTCAGAAAATGCATCTCTGTCCCTTCACTGTAAAGTTGGGGTCCTATGGGTGTGGAATGTTGCAGAGCTGTCAGATGCAGTTATGTGTTGGCTGGTTTGCTGAGAGTCTTTTTTTTCCTCTTTCTTTGTTAATCTTTGCTACAGGGGAAAGCTCTTTGG